CAGTGACCCAGGCTGCCAAACCACGACCGGTTCTGCCGAACCGGTGCGAACCGGTAGGAACCCACTTCTTTCCCCCTCACCATGAAAGACTTTCTGTTTTTGGTTTGAAAAATAAAGGCATCAAAGAGTACATTAATTCATTTTCTCCCTTTTGCTTTGCTCCTTCCAGGATGACAAAGAAATTGATCTAGAGCATCTCCACAGGCGTGTGAACAGCCTCTGCACAGATGACGAAAGTCCCCATAAACAGTTTTCCACTTCATCCATTGACTTGACTCCCCTGGACATTGACACTTTGCCCACGCGTCAAGCCCTGGAGCAAATCAGTGACTTCAGGAACACTCACATCACGACCACAACTTTCATACCAGAGCAGATCCAGACTCTTAGTCGCACACTTTCAGCTAAAGCTGCTTCTGGATTCCCTTTCGGCAACGTGCCTGAACACCGGACTGGCCCTTTTAGGCACAGGGCTCCAAATGGGGGCTTCTTCAGAAGTCCTATCAAAACAATGTCTTCAATTCCGTATCAACCCACTCCGACTCTAGGGCTTAACATCGGCAACGATCCAGACCGAGGCACGTCCATCTAAAACTGCAGACATTGCTTTGTCACTGTTTCTTCTTAGGACTCCCTTTCCAAGGAGCGGCTGTGATATTGTGGAACTAACCTGGATGTAACTTTTTTTTTTAAAAAAAAGAAACCTGAAGTATTAGTAACAACTCATTATCCTTCCTCTTGCCCTCCTCTTTTTCATTTTTTTCTCTCTCTTCTTCCACTACGTTAGGCTGTGATTTTTTTCAGCCCGGTTTCTTTAAGGTGGCTAAACTAAAGTGGTTCTGGAGTAAGTCTTTTCTAGAACATGTTACAACTTTAACTTTGTAACCATCAAGCTGGTGGGACTACTCTGAAGTAAATGCAACCTGAGCTACTGTAGGACCAACTGCCGGCCATCTTCTAAAACTCTGTTAGTAGTTTCCGCTAGGCAGGTCTTCAATTATGATTCCAATAGGCTGTTTCTGAGCGCACCAGGATGTAAGTGTAACAACTGTTTGCCATTCTGTAAAGCAGCGATGTATTCTTATTTTTTTAGGCATTGTGTAGAAGCTTTAAGATCCCCAGGGTGGGGGGGGCGGTTGATAACAAGTGTTTAAATGTTCATACAGGTGTAGTAATGGTACCCTCTTATCTTCCCTATTGGCTTGGTAGTAGGAGCACATATGTGCTAGCTTCGGTCTCGCGTGGCATTTCTGGGCATGTGCAGAAGGTATGTGATGATGTCTGGGTGGGTGGGCGGAGCCACTACCAGTTCACCCGAACCAGTGTGAACCGGTAGAATAACACCTCTGTACAGGTGCTAGTATTCCCACATGTTCCCAAGCACCGTTTTGGAAATGAACCCGAAGGTTTACACAGCATTATGTCATAACACTTGAAATATAGGAACTAAATATGAAGTCTGTGTAAAAAAAAAATATTACAATGTCCTTTCACTGAAATACCTTTGAATTGGTTTTATTTAATATATATATACATATTCATAATTGCAATAATGTGTCTGTTCTCGGACATCCATTTCATGCTTCTCTGCTCTAGAGTGTGTCCTTTTCAATTGTGGACCAAATGCCAACCTTGCAGTTTTTGTAGGGAAAACGAAAACGAGAGAAATGGTAAAGAGAAGGGAGAGACCATTTAACATCAGAATGCAATTTTGTAGAATTTTCACAAAGCCATCGCTATGCCAGTAAAGACTACAGTTAAATCTCCTTTTTGCACTGCAACAGTGCATATGATCTTTCTGGAATTGTACAGAGTTTAAAAGGGTTTTTTGTTTTGTTTTGTTGTTTTGTTTTCCTATGTACAGAGAACTGTATCATACGGCAGAATCTTCTATTAAACAAATTAGTTTCCCATACATACATATATATGCCTATCTATCTATCTATATATATACATGCTTTGGTATATGTGAGTGGGCGTGTGTGGGAGGGTATATATGTAAATACATGTGCACACACACGCACACGCACACACACATATATATATCTATAAAATGGCAGCCAGTGCTATTGCAATTTGTCTAATAAAGCTTTAGTAAGAACAAGTGGATTCTGGTAAGGTGTACAGGGCAAAGAGTCTCTTTTTTTTTCAAAGATGGGGTGCTTTAACACTATTCTGATTTACATTGTTTGATCGAACGTATTTTATATTGTTGCTTTTTAATTAGATCATCCAGGGTCATTTAACATTTGTAACAAGTTGTGCAAGTCACTCATTTGGTGTATTTTTCAGAGTGTAAGACGCACATTCCCCCCACCCCCACCCGGAAGGACGCTGAAAATTTGGGTGCGTCTTATACTCCGAATGTAGCTTTTTTGAAGCTGTTTTTCAGCCCTAATGAGGCACTAAGGAGTGAAGCGATCTTCCAGGCTTCCCCTGCCTTTCTCATTGCTTCTCTCTCCCATGATCAGTTCTGCTTTAGAAGCTGTTTTTTTTATCCCCAACTAGGGGATAAAAAGCATGTGGGTGCTCAAAACCAGCAAACGTATGTGCTGAAGCTGACTAGACTAAGGAAGCTAACCAGATGAATATCTGGTAGGCAGAATTTTTTTTCCTATTTCTCCCCAAAAACTAAGGTATGTCTTATACTCCAAAAAATACGGTAGATTTTTTTTTTTTTTGCAATCGCTATTCAACAGTGTTTAAGCTTATGGTTAATCATGCTTTTACATTAAATTGCAAAATTGGAAAGCATTCATTAGGTTAAAAATACAAATGCATATCCACAGGGATATCTGATTTTCAGCTCTCCGGAGCATGAAAAAAACAGATTGTGAATGTTGAATAAGCCCTATTGAAATCAATACTGTCAATATTTGGAAAATATTTTACGGAAAGAAGGCTGTTGAGAATGACTGGTGTGGCCTTAAATTGCAGTCCTATAGTGCTCCAAGAAAGAGGGAATGGGGAAGGAAAAACAAGCTTTTGTTTAAATCTTTATTACATATTCAATTATAGATGTATTTTTGATGTGAGTTCCAATTGTATAGAATGAGAAGCTGATGACAACATCAGCTGCAGCAACAACAACAAAAAACAGCACCTGGTAAACATTTTTGAAGTTAACACTCTACTTGTTCAGAATTGTAAAAATGAGCTTCAGTTGTAATCTTTATAAACTAAACTGCGGTTAAGTAGAAAGCAAGCCAACTTATTACGTGTTTTTTCTTTGTTTTAATTTGATATGATATTTACGTTAATCTAACTCAGTTATGTGGATAGGACTTGATTATAAGAACCAGCTTAGGTGATCTGCTGTAGGAAAAAAATCAAAGTATATTCTTCAAATCTACTCTATTTTGATGCCTAATTCTGTTCTGGGAGAACACCTTGTAATTGTCATTGTTTTTTGTATGAAATCTGCATAATATTGTCTACTGTGTAAGGCAGAACAATTTTCTTATCATGAGAAAGGCCATTCTGTTTCCAGGGTNAAGATGTCTCCGTGGTCATGTGACTGGCATGACTAAATGCTGAAGGCATACGGAATGCTGTTACTTTCCCACCAAAGTGGTCCCTATTTTTCTACTTGCATTTTTACATGCGTTCGAACTACTTGGCAGAAGCTGAGACAAGTACAGGAGCTCACTCTCTTACACAGAAATAGGGATTTGAACCATTGAACTGCTGACCTTTCTGATCGACAAGCTCAGCATCTTAGCCACTGAGCCACCTCATACCCTACATTGAAGGATTATTCAATCCTAATACTGTCATTATTAATAACCACTAACAAAAAAATATGATGGGAGATAAACCCAGTTGTTATGACCTGGGTTGTAACCTTCTTGCATGAACAAAAGATATTCATAGACATTTCAGTCTGAAAATTCACTTCAATCTGAGAGAGCAGTAGTACAATTCCATGAGAAATTCCCCTCTGTCTCCTGTGGTTTAAAAGGCAACAAAGATATTTTAGCACTCTACACACATTAACTCACAAGTACTGCCAACCTCTAAGAATGAACAGCCCTGAACAGGAGCTTTGCAACAATCTTTGCAGCTGGTTAGAAAAGAGGAAAAGTTTGGCAGAAAAAGCCAAAGAAAAATTCTTTTCTCCCAATCTGCCAGGGAAAAGAATGCTATCTACTGCATGTTTCAGAGATATTCCTGGCCTCTTCTGCACTACATATTTTGGGAGCTGGAGTTTTCTGGTGTCAGGAAAGAGGAAAATGTGCTTTTCCCCATTCCATCTTTTTTTCTTCTTTTTTTTTTAATGTCCCTGGCAGGGAAAGGGGGGAAAAATCTACAACAACCTCACAGCATGTATTTCATTCATTCTTCCAATTTTGAGGCCCTTCTTAAGTTATAATATAATTGGGCTTGGGGTTGAGTGAAAGTTCATAATCCATAACTTTGCAGGAAAGCAATGTCACAGCTGAGTCTGATTTGGAGCATTGCTTTCACTGTGCTCTTGATGGAACATAATAACATTTAGCTCCAGTACAGCACGATCTCTCTGCAAAATAAGGCAGCCCCACTATTGTATTGCTTCACCTTACCTGAAAGATTTTAAGGAAGCAATTGCTCCTAACCAGCCAACTTTCTCCTCTATTCTTCCAGGCTAATGTTCTGTTTGTATCCAAATTGACTCTGTGGCCTGCATGTGAACGAAGAAAACAACCAGATTGGAGTCCCCACCCCCCTCTATTTCTCATTCTCATAACTGTTACCTATATATCTGTGTTAGGCATAAACTGCATGTAATGGAATGTGGAAATGAACTTGAGAGACCGGAGGAAAAGTCACAGATATACAACTGGCATATAAAAGATAGATTAAGCAGGAGACCCTATACCAGTGATGGTTAAGAGCCGAGGTGGCGCAGTGGTTAGGGTGCAGTACTGCAGGCCACTTCAGCTGACTGTTATATGCCAGTTGTNATGATAGCAGTGTTCCAATATTTGAGGGGCTGCCACAGAGAAGAGGGGGTCAAGCTATTTTCCAAAGAACCTGAAGGCCAGACAAGGAATGATGGATGGAAACTGACCAAGGAGAGATTCAACCTGGAAATAAAGATAAATTTTCTGACAGTAAGAACAATCATCCAATGGAACAGAAGTTGCCTTTGGAAGTTGTGGGAGTTTCATCATTTGAGACTTTCAAGAAGAGATTGGACTGCCATTTGTCAGAAATGGTGTAGGGCCTCCAGCTTGAGTGGGGTTGTACTAGATGACCTATAAGGTCCCTTCCAACTCAGTTTAAACACACTTTGGAGGCCTCGGTTGCAAGTGGCAGAGCTTTCTGTGTATAATTTGTCTAAATAATTTGTCTAATAAAATGGTTTTTTAAACTTGCCTCTCTGCCTATTTCAACGATCATGTGAGTAGACAAACAAATAAGTAAGTATGAATCCAAAGCATTCATTCACTTGGGCCCATAACTGAGTTTAAACTGAGTTGGAAGGGACCTTATAGGTCATCTAGTCCACCCCCCTCAAGCTGGAGACCCTACACCATTTCTGACAAATGGCAGTCCAATCTCTTCTTGAAAGTCTCAAGTGATGAAACTCCCACAACTTCCAAAGGCAATTTCTGTTCCATTGGTTGATCTCACTGTCAGAAAGTTCCTCCTTATTTTTAGGTTGAATCTCTCCTAAGTTAGTTTCCCTCCATTATTCCTTGTCTGGCCTTTGGGTGGTTTGGAAATTAGCTTGACTCCCCTCCTCTCTGTGACAGCCCCTCAAATATTGGAAGATTGCTATCAAGTCCTTCTCTTCACTAGCCCAGCCATGTCCAGTTCCTGCAACTGTTCATCAGCCACGTACAGTTCCTGCAACCGTTTTAGCCTCCAGTCCCCTAATCATCCTGGTTGCTCTTCTCTGCACTTTTTTTTCTAGAGTCTCAACATCTTTTTATGGTGTGGTAACCAAAATAGGGGCTCTCCCAAGTTATGCATTGAATTTGTAAAATTGTATAACTGGAGAAATGACTTTGGAAAACATTTGAATAAAACACTCTGATGCTTTGATCTTTCAGTTGGTGTAGAGCCATCAGTTGATTTATAAAAATTTATAGAACGAAAGAAGATCTTTTCCACAAAGGCAGAAGAGATTCAGAGTTCTATAAACTGTGATGTATAAATGAAACACCTACTGATTCCATGATGGTCTGTATCACATGTATAATGCTTTCTTTTCCTAACTTTAGTTCCTTAGTGAAAAGGAAAGTCTTTTGCCTTATATGGTCGCTGGATCCAAGAGGGAAAGATGGAGGAGAGCAACCAGAAACAACATCGCAAGAAACACAGCGGTCCCAAGGCTGGCAAGAAAAAGAAGCGTCATTTGAAAGATTTAGGGATCGAAGATGAAGAGGATGCCAGGAAGAGAAACCCCAAGGCCTTTGCTGTCCAGTCTGCAGCCCGCATGGCCAGATCCTTCCACAGGTCTCTCTATGACTAGATTTGCTCGGCTAACCCTACCACCATTATTGGCTCCAGACCAGGAGTCTCCAACCCTGGCAACTTTAAGCCTGGTAGACTTCAACTCCCAGAATTCCCCAGCCAGCAAAGCTGAAGTTGAAGTCCTCCAGGCTTAAAGTTGCCAAGGTTGGAGACTCCTGCTCCAGGCAGTCTTCTATGGGGTGGGGTGGCCCAATTGTATTACAGCAAATAAGATCTGTTTAGATTGTTTGTAAAAAATAAAGGCAGGAGGATAGACATGCATTTAAATAAACACATATTCCCAGTCTAGGGTAGGGATGGTGTACCTTTTCGGCATCCGCGTGCTTGTAGGGGACACAACCAGGAAAAGAAGCTGTCCAGTGGGCATGCGCGCACTGGGAAATGAACTTCCGGTTTCCGGCAAACACATGCACACCGGCCAGCTTCTCTTCAAGAGTGTGTGCGTGTGCGACGATCAGCTGGCTGGTGCACATGTGCACAACAGAAACCAGCTGTTCTGGTTTCCGGCACTGCCGCATGTGCAAAAAACAGCTGATTGTCGTGCACGCATGTGGGCCAGAAACCCAGAAGAGGAACGGGCGATGCTGCCAGCTTACATGACTCCGTGTGCCACTTCAGGCACACATGCCACAAGTTCACTATCACAGGTCTAGGGCGAAGAATAGGCAAGTGTATAGTTTGCAGCACTATGAGAGAAATGAATTAAAATTGAGCAGGTGAAGGCTTTCTGAAGAGATGGAGGCTCTCTTTAAGTTTGGAATGTAGCCCTCTGATCCCCATAGCAATGTTCAGGGTCCCAAGAATACATCCTGTAATTTGGGGGAATGTGATCAGACCCCAAGCTTTTTATTAGATGAAATGATGACTTCTGCCTGGCTAGAGGGATGCGATGGTTCAGCGGCTAAGACGCTGAGTTTGTCGATCGGAAAGGTCGGCAGTTCAGCGGTTCAAATCCCTAGTGCCGAAACAGAATGAGCTCCCGTTACTTGTCCCAGCTTCTGCCAACCTAGCAGTTTGAAAGCATGTAAAAATGCAAGTAGAAAAATAGGGACCACCTTTGGTGNTGAAAGATGATGCTAAAGTTTCTTTTAGTTTATTTTAGAATATGATTGTTAAAGATTTATGCCCTGTATTTGCTCTGGGAAGTTGCGGGGGGAGGTTGGAGGAGAGATGGGTTCGGGTGGGGAGAGTGGCAGAGGGGAGGTAAATATTTGTAAAAGCTTTTTAAATTTTCAATAAAAAAAGAAATTTAAGCAATGAGTAAGCTTCATAGAAAGGAGATCTAAACAACAGGCATGAGCTGCAAATTGACAGAGGTTCAGAATTCATGGCAGCAAGTTTTTAACAGTGGTTGGGACAGTTGGGAATAAAACACAGATGCACAAATCTGTACACAGCAGCTGAGAATGGCATAGCTGAGCGTGTGTTACAAATAATGAAGGACTCATTGCTGGAGGATTCTGGTCTGAGCAGGTCATATTGGGGTGAAGCCATGTTAACTGCTAATTATTTAATCAATAGACTTGGAGTTCCTCAATTAATGATACTCCATATGCAGAGTTATGTGGGTGAAAGCCATCTCTGGTGTTAAGGGTGTTTGGAAGCAATGCATGGGTGCATATTACAAAAGCAATTAGGAGAAAAGATCAACCAAAAGCTAGAAAGCTTAGGTTTACAGGCTATGAGCCTGGTTCAAAGAGCTATCGCTTTAGCAATGGGAGCAAGAGACTAGTGATTTCTAGGTCTGCTAGCTTTGCAGAGCAAAATTTGAACAGAATTGATGCAAATTTTTGGAATGATCCACTTAGTAGCTCACTTAGTGATGGTAACACACAGTGATGGTGTCAGCATTCAGGGAAGAAAAACTGAAAAAGAGCAAGAAAAGTAGTCAGGAGAAGATGATGGCTCGGATATGAAGCGAGAGAGGGTTGAAACACAAGAGCAGTAAATGCCATGCAGGTTAGAGCGATGGAACAAGGAGATTCCACCTGACAGGTATTCTGCTAATGAACTTTGGGTGAGGACAAAAGTGAAGCCTGTGATCAAGAGATATATCAGTCAGCAATAGGGAGCTTATTATATCTGTCACAGTGGTCCAGACCAGACATAGCTTGTGCAGTAAGCATCTTAAGTCACTTTACTGTTGCACCAACACAATTGCATTGGATGGGTATAAAAAGGATTCCCAGGTATTTCAAGGGAATTGTGAACTTGGGTCTTCAAATAGAGGTCTCTAAAGAATATTAAGTTCTTCATTTTTTGTCTATTATAGTCATAAAAGAAGGTATTTACATGAATCCTGCTTAATTGTGTGTAAACTTGTGTGCTGGTTGGATTGCTGCAAACTCTAACATTTTTCTTTAGATCTGGCCTAGGCAATCAAAGGCATGGGCCTTTACATATGGTCTTCCAAAACACCCAGAGAGTGTCATCAATATTTGCTAACAAAAAAGGAAAATGTTAGCAGTGTGACTATGCTCTTATTGAGATAGTTTAAAACATAGGGATTGGTAGAGTTGGCCTTCCAGAAGTATCAAACACCCATTCCATCTTTCTTTCCTAAAATTAAAAAAGAAAGTTTGACATGCCATTTTAAAGGGGATGGATATATATTTGAAATATTATCAGCTCTTCTAAGAAAGAATAGACCAAAAAACAAATGACATGTAAGTCAATGCTACTTTTAAAGTAATAGAATCTTGCAAGTCTAAATGTGCTTCTTCCTCTCTCCCTTTATCTTTGTATGAATTAGGGAGGGGGTTTTGTGAGATATTTATTCATGCTACTTTCTTAGGATAAGTTCAGCCCCCTTTTATCTGACTATTGCCTTGGTAGCAGCTCTTCCTCCTGTCCTTCAAGGCCATCCTACAAATATTCAGGAAATAAACATTCATTTTGTCTCCGATCCAATTACTGCCTTTTGTGCCAAAACCCATCACAATTATCTTAATATTAAATAGTTACTCTTGAAATGCAGCTGATAGAATATCTGTAATTAGCAATAGCAATAGCATTTAGACTTATATACTGCTTCACAGTGCTTTACAGCCCTCTCTAAGCAGTTTACAGAATCAGCATATTGCCCTCAAGAATCTGGTTCCTGATTTTACCAACCTTGGGAGGATGGAAGGCTGAGTCAATCTTGAGTCTGGTGAGATTTGAACTGCCAAATTTTAAGCAGCCAGCAGTCAGCAGAAGTAGCCTGCAGTACTGCATTCTAACCATTGCGCCACCACAGCTCAATTAGTTACATTACACATTTATTATGCCCCACTTTGATAAAAGGTTGTATGCCCCCAGCACTATTTTGTATTATCTTCCAAATTTTGGATTTGGAAGACAAAAGATCGTTTGTTTTCTGCCCCAACTGTCAAACATGTCAGGTATGTTTGATAAATTCCAACTATCATTTGAGCTGCCACTTTCTCCTTCTCAAGAAAGAACCCTGGGAGAATAAGAGGGAATTCAAAAGGCAGGAATGTGGCTTGTTGGATTTCCTCATTTCTCTTATCCTGAGTTGAATGTTGAGGAAATATATTTCACTGGATCACTATCATCCATTGATATTGCTTGATGTTTACAATTCTGTTTAACTCTTGGAGCCCAAGATGGAGAAAAAAATCTACTAAGATTTGTTTGCTGAATAACTGTTACTTTATAGCAACAAAGTATGCTTTGTTATAGAACTGGTTATAGAACAAGTATATAGAACTGTGTATTTCTGTCAGTTTGCAGCAGTAAATTGTAAAGTGGGAAGTAAGATAGTATTAATTAAAACAATATTGGCTAATCTATATTTTAATATACCAATAATGGCAATTATACTCCTGGATGTCATTAGCTGAAGTTCTCTAAATAGAAAGAGGAGCAAGAGAATCAAAATTAAAACAATAAATAAACTAAAAGGAAGGATGAGATAGGGAGAATAATTTGAAGATGAACTGGGAAACACAGATGCTTATATGGGGATTAGAAATAAGTGAAACTTTTAGCCTTTAAAGTGGAATGAGTAAGCACCTGAGATAATCTTTCCATAACTATTGAATGCAGAAGGTCAAACACGCAGTTATGTTTTTGCACCATATTAACCTTGATAGATATTGTACATACGCCTGAAAAAAGTTATTTGCTTAACTTTATTCACCTAACTATAATGAAGAATGCACAACAGTTTTATTTCATTCTGGTTGAGCTGATGTAAACCTCTATTGTAATGTGATATCTGGAAGGCTATGATTTACTCGAAAGTAATAAGATACTACTTTACAGTGACTTTATATGTTTATTTATTCTAATATACATCTTCTTATTTACTAATAAGCTATTTGCTGTAATATACTCAAAGACAAGTTAATGAGGATAACTCAGCTATATGAGAGGCAGAATTACAATACTCAGTATAAATTAAGAAGGCTCCTTAACTAACTGAACTGCTAAAATATCCTATGTAAAATCTGGGTCCCACAGCAGCTATTTGATCCATGGAAGCGCAGCTGTCTAAACTTTATTGGTACTAAATGTCATGCTTGTACACAAATTGGATGTCTGTAAAACCCAAAGGTACATCTTGGTCTGTTAGTGCTATCGTATACAATCACTTTCCCCAATAAGATGTGAAAATTGAAATGGAAAATGTCAACAAACTTTGGACACAGAAAGGGCTGGGGAAAGCCCACTGACAAGCCACAGTGACGAAAATTTACTTTGAGTTGTAATTAGTGACACTATTATTTTTGTTTGCTGCTGCCAATTAATTTAGTCTGTCAAACAGAAAAACAGCAACATTCACATGATAATTTATATATGGGGAGATGAGCTAGCAAAGCTGTAGCTACAGCCAACAGAATTCCCCTGGAGCACTTAAAAGATAAGATAAAGGGAATGGGGGTGTGCATGGGGGTAGGTGGGAAGAAAGTTAAACTGTCCTTGTTATAATTGTTAATGCTGATCGCTCAAGTAGAAGACAGGCTGATTAAAACTCCAAAGGAGCCTCTGGCTCGCTTATATCTGAGTCCAAAATGATAGAATCAGAGGAGTTTATTCATACCATTAAACCCCGGAGAACTTAATTGAAAGAAGAGCATAGCCCGGACCTTGACAAGCGGGAGGTCACAGTAATTGCTGCCGGACATATTTAACATTAAGATAATCAGGCCATTAATTACCCTTTGGATCATTAAATCAGCCAGTTGCAAAATGAAATTTCTGCCTCTATTACTCACTTGAGAGACCACAGGGGTGGCTTTTAATTTATCAGTGAGCTTGTGATACAAAGGATCAGGCATGTGGAAGGGGGAGAGATGGGGGTTTGCTTCAGCAGAAACAGGAATATCAATCCGCCATGCTTGATGATTGTGGCAAATTAACTAGGTAAGATAACCTCAGCTTCTAAAGGCAGAAGCTAGAGGTATGTAAATAGATGAGGGCAGACAGGGAGATCAGAAGCTGCACACCACTTAGCAGGATAATAAAGGAAATCATCCTTGATTATCAGTGCTAATTTGGACACTGCCGGTAGCTTGTTATGTGTGTTCTGAGTAGCATTTAATTAATTCAATTGCTTGTTAATGAGGGAAGTGACATGTGGGGAGCAGATGCCACCCAATTGCAGATGGGGTCTGGTCAGCCCATCACAATAAAGTATTTTTGTTCTGTTCTCCCTTACCCCAACATCACAATCGGGTAAGGTATCAAACATGGATGATCATTCAGAAGGGACAGAACACTGACCTCATCAGGCAAAGATGGTAAGAAATGAAGTCTGACAACAATGGAAATATAGGTATTAATGTTCCTAGAGGTACTTACAGCCTTATACCAGAAATTCAAGGATAATGTGATTGTATCACTGATGATCTGATTTAACAAGGCAACTAAAGATTACAACAACATATATCTAAGGTAGTATGTCCCAGTCATTATTCCCAATTAAAATACAAATATGCAAGCCCAATCTTAGAAAGCATTAATTTCTGGCATGGTTTGGTCTCAAATGTTACCCACTGTCTTTCACTAAGTAGCCTCAAGGAGAGCTTGAGTCTACAGATCTGCAGGAAAAATAATGAGACTGCCTTCTTCAAATAACCTGTCAGGGGCCTACAAACTTAAACACTCAAAGAGGCTTTTGGACCTGTTTCCCACAGAAAAGAAAACACAGGGAGCCACAAAACCTGGGTGGACATGGCCAACTCAACATCACTCACTCCCACACAGTCACATGATCCCTCAGCCACAACTACCCAGGTTTTGTGACTCCTGGTATTTTTTCTAGGAAACAGATAACTCTCTTTCTCCTCTCTTCCCCCCTCCTCTCTCTCTTTCTCTCTCTCATTCTCTCTCTCTCATCTCTCTTTCTCTCTCTCTCTCATTGCTCTCTCCCCCTCATCTCTTTCTCCCCTCCATCTCTCTCCCCCTCTTTCTCTCTCTCATCTCTCTCACCCTCTCATCTCTCTGTCTCTTTCTCTCTCCTCTTTCTCCTTCTGTCTCTCTCTCATTCTCTCTCTCATCTTTCTCTTTCTTTCTCCATCCCTCTCCCCCCCTCTTTCTCTTTCTCATCTATTTCCCATCTCTCTCTCATTACCTCCTTGCAGCAAACAGCCTGATTAGCACAAGAAAAAAAACTGCCACCCAGCAATTCGCCATATGGAGCAAACAGCAAGTTTCACTTTCAATTTCTCCTGATCATCAGCTGTTACAGGCTGCAACTTATTGAAGCCTCTGCAAGCCCCCATTTGCTGCAAAGAGATAAATTGCTGGGAGACAGGGTTGGGCCAGTGGATACATTCAGTGTATAAGATGCACACAAATTTTCACACTCTTTTAGGGAGGGAAGATGCATCTTATGCTTTGAAAAATGCGGTAAGTCAGACCCTACAAAAGTACACAACTTGATCCATGATTTTTCTCTCTCATCATTATCGTACCTTTCATTTCACATTCCTATAATAAAATAGCCAATCATTCCAATCATCTATTTCTTTACTTTTACTTTACTTACTGTGAATACTGTACAGTATCTTATTTGTGAATGCGTGCTTTTGATATTTAACTGACAGCTCTCATTCATTCATTCATTCATTCATTCATTCATTCATTCATTCATTCATTCATTCATACAATTTCTATAGCCACTCACTTCAGTAAATGACTCCAGGCAGCTTACAATTCAAATATATATACATATATATATATATATATATATATATGTGTGTGTGTGTGTGTGTGTGTGTGTGTGTGTGTGTGTGTGTGTGT